GAAATCGATAGATGGAAGAGAACTGAGAAAGCAGATGTGGGAGATAAAATGAGGAATAAATGCAATTTACCCATAGCCAGCAATATACAAGTATGATATTGGAGACTGAAATGTATTTCCAAAATGAGAGTGATGTTGCATGAGTTTGATCAACATATATATGCATGTATATATATATATATATTTATATATATATATAAATATATATATATATATACAGTCATATTTTATTACCTATGGCATCAGCGTTTATCACCAACAAACTTATACAACTGAAGAATAAAAAATCTCATACAATGTTTAATAGATGGTTTCAGATGATGATGTGAATATACCAAACCGCGTCTTTATTTACACTCGGAGGTTGGAAAATTCGGTGTTACGACAGCCCAGTAAGCAGTAGCAAGAAACATCTAATGTTTACAGTTCAAACATTCCAAAGTGGAAGAAACTTTCAGGCGGTGTGTAATCCCACATTTTTTTCTGCTCGAACCATAACGTGAATGCCACGATTTACACAAAATTTGATTGCGAATATTTACGGATGGACTAGCATTTCAAGGTAATGGCACAAACCAATATCAGTGGAGTGGATTGCAGTTACTTTTATGTCTCATTTGGGTGGGTAAATTTCCACGTGGTGGACTAGGAAGTACGTTTATTTGCTATAGGTGCACATTTAACCAGTCTACGGGCCAGTGAGCAGGGCACGGTGTAAGCATGCAAGCGGATAGGCAAGAAACCAGACAACTGAGTTAGGCGTTAAATGACATTCAAATACGTTGAAGTAAGACGGTCATATGGTCAACTTAATCATCTTAGAATGGGCTTACTTACATCTCATTGACTGAGGTGGATCGACATTTTGATGCAGTAGTTCCACATGATGCACTTGCTTGTATGTGTAGTAGCATACAGCATTGACTAATCAATCAATCCAAGCGTAGTCATGCCCGGCGAATGTATCAATCAATTCCGAGCCCTGGTAGTGCCCGGTTTGGTTCCTATGCTATCGTATGTTGCGCGGTCATCTTTGCGTTTTTGTCAAACATCTTTTATACAGACAGGTTGCCACAAATTGCAAAAAATGTTTATGCATTTTGCAATGATGAACTGTAGACGAGCTAAAGATGATAGACACCGGAGCTTTCTGTTCAATTATGGGAACACTCCACTCATTCATTGGGATCCAGATTGGGTTATCGTCCTGGACGGACCAAAGAGCTTCAGGTCACCAAAGTTGGATGAAATTTCAGGCTTTGAAGAAGCTCGTATCTCAGATCTCAAAAATGGTCGTTGGCAGCTAACAGAACCGCAGCACCATAGGCATAAACCAACTATTCCGTATACTAAAACATTTATTTCCCGAGATAAACTTTTTTAAGGGGCTATTAGAATAAAAAATAACAGGTCATCTCTATGGCAAATGAACTGTCGCGAGGTGTTACCATTCCGTTCAATCTTCTCAATCACTGACGTAAA